ATAATTTGTTTTTGTTAATTCTCACCGAATGATATTTTTCTATTGATTTTTAGAGAGAGTAGAAGGGAGAGAGGAAGAGAGAGAAACATCAATGTCAGATATATAGAATAGTTGCCTCCCATAGGACCCTGACTGGGGCCAGGTATCAAACCTGCAACCCAGGTACTTGCCCTTGATCAGGAACTGAACCCGTGACTCTTTGGTCCACAGGCAAATGCTCCAACAGCTGAGCCAAACCAGTCAGGGGATGCGTATGACATTTTTATACCTAACAATGTGATCATCCCACTTCTTTTAGTAATCATCTATCACCATCTAAATTTATAACAATATTGTTGACTATACTCACCTAGTCATTTGGATTCTTGAAGGCATCTATTGTGTCCCTATATTTTGTCCTTTTTTTTTTTTTTGGCTTAACATTCTTGGTATCTTGACTTCCTGGTCAGTGAACATTATTTAATTTAATTTCTTCACTATTCTATAAGCCAATTCAATGAATCTTCTTTGTCTCTTGTAAAGTCAGTCCATGGTGGACAGGATGAATGACTGGTCTGATTAGGGATTTGGAATTGGATACTTTGGATTTATTGATATAGTAAAGCTTGTAGTATTGTTATCATTTGGCAATCCCACTATTGCCTCATTAGTTCACAGCAAGCATTTGTTCAGTTAAATCATAGGAAGTTTGTTAATTTTGCACTTCACTTTGTGGAATTAGTTCAAGACTGTATTTATATCATTGCTGAATTCAAAGTCGTCTGGGGCCATAGATCTTGGAATTTTATTAGACTCCTCTTGTTGAATGCTGAATTTGGCATGTGATACGATTGCTATACACTTCTTTATATCCTTCAGAAATTTAACGTGCTTGAACATTTTAGGTTATTACATGCAAAATAAGAGGTTGTTTTGTCAGAAGTGTCTCACCTATATTATTTTTTTTATTTATTTGAGAGGGGGGGGGGAGAAGAGAGAAAAAGAGAAAGACACAGAGAGAGAAACACTGATTTGTTGTTCTACTTATTTATGCATTCATTGGTTGATTCTCGTATGTGCTCTGACCGGGGATCAAACCCACAACCTTGATGGATCAGGAAAATGCTGTAACCAACTGAACTACCCAGCTAGGTCCTCCCCTATATTAATTTTAAATCTGCAGAGTTAGGGGTCTAACTCCACATCCACTGCAAATAGTTGTGGTTTCAGAAAAATACTAAAATAAAGAATTCAGGTAGATTTTATTGAGAAAATGATGGCAAAGTTTAGATCTGAAAGATAAATATATTTCACTAGGGAGTGAGAGAGAATAGGTAGAATATTCAATTACAGGACATGTTGATAGTTTCAAATGTAAATAAATTACAATAGGAAGTATAACATTTTTAATGCAAAGAATGACAAAATCAGATCTATATTTGATCTAAATCTTTAAAAATATTCCAGCTACAGTACATTCTGTTGAATTGACTAAAGGTATAAAAGTAGACTTGCTGAGGCTGATAAGACAAGGCTGGTGGTGGTGGCAAAATATATGAAGCAAACTGAATAGATGAAGGTGTGTTAGGAGGTTAAATCCACAGGGTATGAGGAAAGAATGATAGGGAGGAAAACTGAGATGGTGTTACTGATTACTCCTAAATTTCTGGCTAATACAACTAGATTGGTGGTGATATTATTCATAAAGATAGGTCATGCTGGAGGAAAACTGGTTAGGAAGAGGTACATGCTATGAATTTGTTTCAAACATGTTGATTTTAAAATACTTTTGGTGAGGTGATGTATTTTAAGAACCATAAAATGATATATACCCTTTGACCACAATATCCCAAGCCTCTGAGAATGTAGCCTGAAAAAATAGTGCAATAGCTGGGAAAAGTTATGTCTGAAAATATCCATGACAATGTTTTTTTATTAATAGGAAAATTTGGAAGCAATGTTAATGCTAAAAAATAGAAGAATGATTTAATAAATTTTTGTCAAATTACTAAATGAAATATGACAACCAATTAAATGGTTGCTTTAAAAACTCTTTAGTGACATGGAAAGTGTTAATTATAAAATGATAACAAAATAATTAAAATAATTTGTACATTACAATTAAAACTGTAAAAATAAATAGATAAAAAATCAAACTGGAAAAAATTGCAAGAAATTGACCAACAGAATATTAGAATTACAGGTGTATATATTTCTTTTTCTTATTTAAAAATTAGTAACATGCTTAAATTGTTTTTGATTCAAAAATATATATATTGCACATATAAATGCAAGTCTTGTTTCTCAAGATTATACTTGGATTGTTATTAAGGGTTCCATTCTTTTTCCCAAAGTTAGAAATTTTTAAAACATAACTTTTTCTCCAAGAAATTTGTAAGATAGTCTTGAATAATTCTTATGATTTCTATTTTATACCTCTAGAATAGAAGCTGATCTACTTTATCCTCAATCATAGTCTGAAGTGTCTTCATGGCAAAAAAAAAAAAAAAGTTCCCAGCTGGTGTGGCTCAGTGATTGAGTATCAACCCATGCATCAAGAGGTTGCTGGTTTATAAGTGAAAGAAGCCAAGCAGAAAAAGACAAATACCACATGATCTCACTTATATACAGAATATAATGAACATAACAGTCTGAGGAATACAGTAGACCCAGAAACATGGAAGTAGGGCACAGACTGACATCCCTCAGAAGAGGGTGTGGCGGGGTGGGGTGGGAAGAGATAAACCACAGAACTTATATGCATGTATGCATGACCAATGGACATGGACAACTAAGCTGGGGATGGGGTGGGGGTGGGGTGGGGAGGGGGTGCCAATGGGGGAAAAAAGGTAAAATATCTGTAACGAAAAAAAAAATAAATAAATAATTTATTTTTTTTAAAAAAAGAGGTTGCTGGTTTAATTCCCAGTCAGGGCACATGCCCAGGTTATGGGCTCAATCCTCAGTGGGGGGTGGAGGGTGCAGGAGGCAGCCAATCAATGTTCCCTCATTGATGTTTCAAATTCTCTCTCCCTCTTCGTTTCCCTCTCTCTAAAATCAATAAAAATCAATCAATAAATAAATCCTCTCTGTTTTTATGTGTGGTAGATAAGTAATTTTTGGAACTAAAATCTGAGTTCTAGAGCACTGCATAGAGTGCAAAGCAATTAGTTGCATCTTTTAATTCCAATAGCCAAGAATGTCATATTTTGAAATTTAGATACTTTGTATTTTTAAGTTATAAAGACTTTATTTTCAGAAATAAAGACAAAATGAACTATTATACCTTTTTAAAACTGGTAATTTTATTATACTAAATGAGTATTTGAATTTATAACTTTGTTCTGTGTCTTTAAATTTACTATATTACATATTAACCCAACTTCATTCTCATATTTTATCAATAAGTATGTCAGTGTCAGCAACGTTTTATGCTCTGTCAATTAGCATAAATAATATATCACTGTGGACCTTAATACTTTATGTAAACATTGTCCCTTTGGAAAATGGTTTATTTTTCATTTTTTGGAACAGACATTTTTAATCTATTAGACAAGCATAATACAGTGTTTCCTATTCCAAAGATAATGTTTATTTCAATTATGTTGTATAAGGTAAGAGTATAGTCAGGAGTAAAGACATGAATTTTAATAAACTGTAGAGAAGCAACTGACCTGACATAAGTAATTATAATGGCAGAGATCTAACTGGCAGTTTGAGCAAGAACCTTTTAGTAACTCATTGCAAAACATAGTATAGTAAATTTATCTTTAAGGAATGTTTTCCATATTTTATGATAAAATATTTTTAAATTTATTTTGATACATTTTTAAACAATTTACTATTGAAAATATGCTGCATTTAAAAGTGTAGCTTTATTCTGAGTGGAGTTTTTTTAGTCAGTTTCCAATGGTGCCTAAAAAATGTCATAAATCAAAACTGCCATTAAAAAGTTTCCATCATGTTTAGATTCTAAAGAAGGTACAGGTTTACAAAAAATGGAAATTCTGATACAATCTCTAAAATCCCATGATTTTGAACCCATGAGAAATAATGGTTAGTTGGTTCATATATAATTTGATATACCCTGAATATCTGATGGACTATGGGCTAAAAGCTGGTGCTCTAGTTATGCATGTACTTAACATCTGTCTGATAATTTCTGGGTTTGGATAATTTTGATGTGTTCCTACTATATTTGGTTCTAAAGCTGCTAAAGTTCCAAGACGAATGGAGGGAGAGAAGAAGGAGGAGAAAGATGAGGAGGAAGGAGAGGGAAAGGATGGGGAAGGGGAGAAAGACAACAGAGATAAGATGCATAACATATACCTAGCTACTCACTTTTCACAATTCACTCTATAATTATTGGTGGTATTAAAAATTATGATGACCATGTTGATACATAAAATAATATACATATGTTTTAGAATTTACTTTCCTATTAATTTTAAAGTATCACCTGTATCAAGAAACTGGAGCTGACTCCTTCCACCCCCCAAAAAAACTGTTATTTCAAGTAAAATTCAAAGTATACTTTTAACCATTTAAATAATGATCAGCAAAAATAACCTAACCATAATACACTGAGATTATTATTTTTAATAATATATATTAAATGTTATTGCTATCATTCACACAAAGTCCCAATAATGTACCATGAATACTGATACTAAAAATGACCAATAGGCTGAAAATCCAATTAAGAAGGCCCATAATATTTGACAGTTTCCAAAGCAAATGAACATAGATTTGCATATTGGTTTTGGCTCCACCCTTACTATATGACTTCATTCTTACCTGTGTACTAATTTTGTAAAGTTGGGCTTAAGATATTTCATCAATTTCTTTCACATATTTCACAGAGTCAAGATAAAGCCAACATATTTTAAGTTATTTTAAACATTCCATTTAAACATTATAAATCATCTACATTTCATATATTTTATCAGCACGTAACATAAACATGCACATGACACCAAAGACAATGGGTAAACTAAAAAAAATAGTTTATTTGCACTTACTTGAAATAAAAGAATATGCCAAGTGAGATAAGCAGCGATGCAATAGATAATCCGTGTCCAATTATGGTCAGGTAAAACAAATTCAGTGCTGTCTATAATTTGCAAGAAAAAAATTAAGGCTCACATCAGTCCTACAATCTATATGTGTAGAAGGTCAAATTCAATAGAATAAACTATATATTTAAAACCATGATCTCATAGCCTTATCTGTTCGCTTGCAAACCAAATACCTAAATGCGTCTGGAATGAAGAATATCTATGCAGGTTTATCCAGTGACATCAATATTTATAAACTGTAAGCCCCATTTAGTTAAGAAATTAGAAGTCATTTATAAAATATATGAAGGAATAATTGTATTGACCTAGGTTGTATAATACATGAAACCAGCATTTTATATTTTGGAGGACACGGGCAATTTTCACTGTATCACTTTATGCACCTTCATTCAAATGCTATTTGATGATTTTGTTGTTGTTGTTGTCCTTTACTTAAAAACCATATAAGGCTCTCTTTCCCAACTGGGTTTCTATTTTTCCTCTGGCAAATCTGAGGCTCTGAGACAAATCTCAAAGTACTAACTGGGGGGCTATGATCCTTACAACGATGTTCTAACTTTCTCCTGGTTTTGACATTTTCTTTTTGATATTTGTCTATAATTCACTTATTTGTAACTTACCACTTTACTATGCATTTTTATAATTTTCCCCAAACTCTTCTCTGAATAAGCAAAGCATATATGATTTATAATTATAAAGATAGCTGACAGTTATCAAGTGCTTTATTATATGCTTTACTATGTGTTCATTTTCTAAGTGTTTTCCTCATATTGAGTCAATCCTTATGAAGATCTTGAGGGTGGGCTTACTGTAATCCCCATTTTATGCACAAGGGGACTGAGGCAGAGAGAGGTTATGGCTTGAGGGTCACAGAGCTGGTAAAGTGTAGAAACAGGAAGTAGAATATCAGAACTCTGCTTTAGTTACAGTGACAAACTGTCTTCCTCTCTATATGTACGCACCTGCAAAAATATTTAGACACTTTCTATCAAAGCTTATTGTTGTGACAAGCTGTGACTAACCTTGACTTAATGTATGGTATTAAAAGCAGAAATGTGAGTGAGAGGGACCTAATGGCCAGTCAGAATGAGAGCCCTCTGTTGAGGGACCGAGAGAACTGTTTTAACCCTGCTGGACTTAACCTTGTATACTTGAGCACAATTTCTAAATGTAATTCTAGAAAGTGCACCACTATCAACAATTTTCTATTTCCTTACACTTTTAAAGTGTTTTCTTTGGAAAATATGAAATTGCAGTACTGAGACATTGACTTATAAATACACTATTACCTGGCAGAATTGCTTCTTCAGTATAATGACAGAATCAATAGTAATTATTTTTACAAAGATGGTTTTCTTATTGTTCTTCTCCAAGAATATTATGAAAAGGCTTTACAATGGAATGGAACACTAGCTAAATTTTCTCCCATATTACTTTGGTAACTAATGTTTTTAATTGTGTAAATGAAATTTCATTTTATAATTGTCACGTACCTTCACCCTCTTATGTGTGTTAAGATTACACTGGGTATAATTTGTCCATGTTCTGTTGCTTGCTGGATGTCTAAACCAGTTTCCATCTTGGTCACAGATCTTTGTAACTTTTTCTTGAAAATTATAAAGGAAAAAAATAAAATAATTTAGTTAACCTGAGTTTATTAAATAGATATCAAGGAGACTGTATGTAAATTTCTGCCGTCACCTGAAGGATCGAAGTCTTGAAAGTAATCAGGGCAATGCTGCATCGACTCCGTTCCTGCTGCAACATCATTCCAGCACAGCCATCCGTCCCAGGTTCTGTTGCAGTAAATGCCTTAAGGGGAGAGTAAAAGTTAGCAAGGACCAGCTCCCACTAGGTGTACACGAAGACATAAAGTCTTAGTGGTAGGTTCACACTGATGTGGAACAAAGAAGGTCTACTGAAAATGAAGACATCATATAAAATCTATAGTTGTGCACTATTAACGACAGGGGCGTGTCCTGAGGGAAGCATCATTAGGTGATTTTGTCATTGTGCCCCTATCACAGAGTACACTTACACAAACCTAGAGGGTAACGCGCACTGCACACCTAGGCAATAGGGTATACCACCTTCATACATGCAGATCATTGCTGACTAGAACCGTACTATGTGGTGCACGAGTACACAGCAATTACGTAAGTTTTCCACCAAGTAGTTATTAAAATAACTAATTTCTAAATTAAAATTAGAAATATCTGAATTTGTATACAAATATTTTAATACTTGGTAAGTCAATCCCTATTGACTTAATATCAGGAACTTTTTTGTTGTCTGGTTTATTATTTAAAATCTGTTTTTATTTATATTTACTTATTAATCCTCATCCAAGGATACATTTTTATTGATTTTTTTTTTTAGAGAGAGAGAGAGAGAAAGAGAAAGAAATATGGACTGGTTGCCTCCCATATCACCCCCACCAAGGATTGAACCTGAAACCCAGGCCTGTATCCTAACTGGAATTGCACTGCAACCATTTGGTGTGTGGGATGACGGCCCAATCAACGGAGCCACCTGGCCAGGGCTGTCTGGCTTATTTTAAAGAAATTTTTAACTGAATAAATCTCATAATAACAATATTCAAGCAGATATATCCAAAAATAAATTATATTGTTCAGTTATATTCAGATTTTAAAAGTTGACCAATGTGGAAAAACTTTTTTCTTTCTCACAAATGAGTTCAGTTTGACAGTTACAAATAATAATAATCTACTTTTAACATTTTATTTATATAAACATTGTCTATTGTACTATCAAAAATTTTTCAAAAAATTTTAAGATCTTTGTTTCCACTGACAGTTTGAAAATCTAGAACTATTTAAAGTCTTTATATTTTGCTTTGTCTTTAGGGTTGCCTGTGTCACTCATTTTTCTATCTTCAGCATCAAGGAAAATATCTGGCATTTAGTAGATCATCAATAAATGTCCCCAAAATATCTAAAGAATAACTTACTGGAAATAGAGCACTTATACTTCATTAACTTTGCTACCAAATGTACTAATCAAAGTATAAGTTACATGAAAGCATTTTTGTCATTTATTATGCAAATTCCTATCAAGCAGCTTGTTAAAAATATAATTACATAAACTGAAGACAAATTCTCTTAAGACACATACTTATTTGATAATTTAAACACCTTGATATCACAAAAATGTTATAAAATATATCCCTGTTGCACATATTCTTATTAGAATTTTACAAAAGAAGAAAGAGAAATTATGTCATAAAACATTCTTCATAAATAAATAATTAAAACTGCTCATATATCAGAAAAATTAGTAACTAACCCATTTTTAATAAGGAACCGAAGAAATCCATAATTATGTAATGGGGTGGTTTTCTTTTAGAAATATATCAATGCATTTACAATTAAATGGTCACGTTTACCTTCTGTTTGTTGAATGGGATCTTGCATAATTTTCTGGTAACATTCATATTGAGCCGTCATAATTTTATTTCTAGTAACACGTAACTCATTTTGTTCACCATGGCTCTGTTCTGATTCTGCCATGACAGGAATCTAAGGGATTAAAAAAAATAAAATTTCAGAATTGTGAACATGTCTATCTTAGGCAGTCTGTCACAGAGGAAAACTTTAAGTACAGAGCTTGGTCAACTGACTTTGGGGGTAAATCCCTGATTGGTAGTATTTGCCAATTTCCACAGTAAATATCTTTTATATCATGTCCTATTTCAAGTGACAAACAGGACACTGCCAATGGCAGAGTGGGGAAGAGCAGTCGATGTTTGGCTTTCTAAAGCCTGTAGAGTAGAAGCTGGCTGCCCAATGTGCTGTGGGATGCAGACAGAGCTGTATGCAAATCCACCACTATTTCACCTGCTCTGTGAATGCAGCCAGGAATTTTAACCCCCTAAGTCTCTGCTTTCATATTGTAAAATGGGACAAATAGTATCAAGACAACAGAGGGGAGTATATGGCACACGATAATACTCAAAATAGTTACCATTTTTATTGATAATCCAAATAATAACAAGTTCATTTGTGATGTTGGTAAATAGAATTTTTATTGTATGTATATCAATATAGGTTTTAGACAAGGAATATATTTATGCTCTTCCACTTTAGTATCACTATTTCAAGATTCACTTCCATTTTAATTTTTACATGACTCCCCTCTCCCCATTTTATCATGTAAAGCTTGTATTAACTTCTCTTTAACCTTATTTCTACATTTTTGCATGATGTCTATTGACTACTTTCCATAGCAGTTGTTTTTCTACTTATTTTGTTCCCTTATTCTTGATTTTTCTGTTCTCTGGCAGGAAGTCTAAATAGTAATATTCCCTGTGTGTGGCACCACTCAAGCATCACCATCAACAGACCACCATTCAATATTAACGCCTTCATTCTTTGATTGGTTTTAATTTCCTAATAAAGATGTATGCAGCAATTTTGCTGCACAAGAATAAATGGAAATTTACAACATCAAAAACATTAACAATCTGTTTCCTGTTCTCAGCAAGTTTATAGTTGTATAGAATCAGTATTATTTTCATTCTTACTTAAAATAAAAACTCAGATTTGCACACTGAGAATCGGTCCCATTTTCTGTAATCACGATAATCGGACTGGTCCTCTGTTACAGAATCACCCGCTGTGCAGCTGGGTGACACGCTCCGTGGAGGGTGTGAGCTGCAGAGTCGGGGTCCTGTTTCTTGAATTGTAGTCTATTTACCCACGATAACATCTAAGAAGCGCAGAATGTGGACTACACCTAGACCTGAGAATGTTTTCAAACACACATGCTGACAGGAATGTAGCCTTGCTTTTTTTTGCTGTTTTATTTCCAGTGAAGGTTCTCTGTATTTTTCTTGAGTTTCTGTGTTTGAATCTTCCTGGGGGTTTGCTTGGAAACACCACAGGACAATTATTTGTTGGCACAGAATAGGAGGAGATGATGTCTCTCAGCTTCTCATATGTATAATGAGATAAGAGCAGAGTCTCAGTTTTTTTATTTTTTTACTTTTTTTTATCCTCACCCGTTTCCGAGGACATTTTTCCATTTTTTGTTCAGATAGAGTGGGGGTGGGGGGGAAGAGAGAGAAACATCGACGTGAAAGGGACACATCCAGTGGCCGCCACCCGCACGACCAACCAGGGCTGGGGACAAACTGCAACCGAGGTACATGCCCTTAGCGGGAACTGAACCCGGGTCTCTCCGGACCGCAGGCCGACGCTCTAACCGCTGAGCCAAAGCGGCCAGGGCCACAGTCACAGTTTTAATGTGTGACATTCTAGGGCCTGTTACGGGTGAGGAACTAAAACTTCACAGTGGCATTTCTTCCTTTCTCAGTTTATATTAGAAGTTAAGACAGTACTTTGCAAGAAAAATTCTAACTAATCCAGTCAGGTTTCAATGTGAAACAGAGAAAAACATAAAATATTTCTCTAAATACACTTAAAATGAATCGTGTAAGGCGCGTGACGCCTCCAGTATAGATGGCACTGTGTTTCAGGCATCCTCAGTCAACTCTCCCCTGCAGCCCAGCACCCCGTGCGGAGCCATGCAGAGGTGCACACGAGGACACCTGTCCACACTTAGCATCGGTGCCGGCCAGAAAATGGACACAATACTTATTTGAGTGAATGGATGAAGAAATTAATTTAAAATACAGTAAATGATTCTGAATTGCTTTTCTTTTTATCAACGTAAGTCAATCAGTTGCAGAATCGAGAAAAACCAACAGCTTAGGATCTGCTTTATTAATTGTTCCAGCTCAGAATCAACAGCTCTGGTCGAAAATATTTTATCTACCATGTACGGCTGTACTATAGAGACATTCTGGTTTTTGTTTTCAAACTGATAATTACTATCCTCTTGTCCTTCATATCCGTATTCATTTACTTTTCTCACTTTGACATTTCCCCACACAACTACACCACCAATCCGTAGTGCCTACTATGGGACCAAAAGCCTTAAAGTATATACTGAAAGGAAATACATTATTGCTACATTGATTGGACCTAAGAGTGTACTTGATTTATGCATCAAATAATAGCATATCATTTTGTTGTGATTCACCTTTATCAACTATAGATATATTGGAAGTTAAAATAGAAATAATCATAGCTGGGGAGATATATTAGAAAAATATATGCTTACCATTAAAAAAGGCAGGAGAAACAGGAAATACAGCGTACACTTTTTCTCCATCGTTAACGCCAAAATAAAATATGCTATATAATATAAATCAAATTGCAATAGAAAATGAAAAATATAATTAATCAATATTTATGAAATAAATATACATGGTTCTCAACAGAAAATTTCTTTAAAATTTTGCTTGAAGAATTTGATTAATAGTCTTATGTATCACAAATTTAAAAGCATTCTGGCTTAAAATATTAATGAGCTTAATTAAATATATTTTAATCTAATTTAATTAGTATTACAAACAGGAAACTTCTTGTATGTATATTTTTAGTAATTAGAAAATATCTTGTTTTCTTTTTCTTCACCAAAATTGGGAAAAAATAATTAAGTTTCAAAATAAAGAGTTTCGTAAGAAGATAAAAGCACCACCTTCAATGATATATTTACTATAAAACATACCTTTATTTTCTATAAATACTAATCTCACTTTTAATTTTCTGAATCTTCAGTTATTTAAGGGGGCAAATTGTTCTTGGGCCAATTTCTTGAGAATCAATATTTATATTTCATTAAAATGGCCTTATAATTTAATAGAAATTATTCTTCACTGAAGGATTCAATTGTTTTTAACCAGGAAATAAAGTCACTTACATTGTTAGAATTTGGTTGCAGAAGAAGGACAATACCAATATTTCTGTTAAATATTTCTAATGGTAGCTATAATTCTGAGCAAATAAAAAATGATCTCTAAAACACCACCCTTTAACTTCTTAATTTTAAGAAACAATATTACTGGGGGAAAGTGTATAATGCTTACTACCTATAAGGTGCATGAGCAACCTACTCTGACAGTTTTTTATAAGAGCTTAATTATCCTGATATAGTCATAAAATATATTTATTTAACTGAATGTGTAAAACATGTCTTTCAAAGAAGATAAAAAATTTTAATCAATAGATATTTGCTAGTGAACATTAAACTTAAGTTCCATTTTCTTAGGGTATTTGTCATGATTTTTAGCATAGGAAATGCTGGAATAAGAATGATAAAAACCTTTCCCACATGTTTTGCTTATCGTTTTCATTATCATGTGCAATGAGAGCACACCACGGCAACTAGAGTCTATGCCATTGCTTACCTTCACCAATGACCCACCTGGAAGAATGCTTTCTCTTCTATCTGCTATACTGGGTTTTTATTATTAGTTGATCTTAAGAAAAATATAACAAAAAAAAAAAATAGAAACACTGTATTAATTTTAGATATTAAAAATAATGAATGTTGTAAACAGAAGGAAATATTTATCAAGATTTTACAATTCAGTAATTAATGAGTTGATATTTTAGTTTTTATTACATTTTACCATGAGAAAATCTAATTTCCCAATACTTACATGCACAATTGTCTGCAGACTCAAATCACATTTTCTCTTGGATCATAGTCAACATTGTCTTGAAGAACTTCTTAAATCCTGGGGTCATGACCTAAAATAGTGATTGATACAATAATTAGTATTATTTTAATGAGCCAAAATTATTTCTATGATAAATTGAAAATTTCAAAACAAATACCACTATTAAAATGATATTTATATTAAGCTATTCCAATTTTTTAAAGTCTTTGTTTTCTTACACTAAATTTGAGTTTTGTCACACATATATGTTGTTTTTCATTAGAGAAACATCAGTTTTCATTTGTACAGGATACCTGGGATACTGAAAAATCTAAGTGAATATTTTACCTCAGTAAATTTCAAAGAACTATATTATGATTTAAAAAAAGATTTTAAAATTAAACTATAGTTTAATCTTCCTTTGAATAACTTTCTTCGTCTAATCTTTTATTGGAATGTGCTGTTGTTAGTCTTAGTTACATATATCTATTTACCATACTGGTATGGTTTCTCAAAGCCAGAAACAATATCTGATTGACTTTGTCTCCTTTATGTCTAGCAGTTGATTTACATTTGCTGTATAAATGAAGAAATGAATTGATAAAGTACTTTAGGATTTTAAACTTAAAAACAAGAATACAAGAATACTAATCATAACTATTAACGGTCATTTATTCTATTAGAAGACTTTACAGAGTGTTTGAATCAGTAGTGAATAAACATTGGTGGTGGGGGGGAGTTCTTAAATCAGCATGTTTACTTTCTTAACAAAATAAAGTCCTGAAATTACTCAGATTTCAAGTTCTGTGGTTGTTTGGATACTGAACAAACTCTAGTTTACTTCACTGAGTTTGAAGGTCATAAAGGTTAAGCCAAATTTAAAACAGTATTTCACATTTTTCTGCATTGAATATACATAATACAGAAGCATACAAATAAAAATGTAAAGAAATATTATTCTATTTCGAAATCAAATAGGTTTTTATGAAACAATGCTTTCATGATTTACATGAACAAGTATTAAATTACTTTAAATATGTACATGTGCTCAAAAATCAAAAAGTGCTTCAAAAACATGTTTGAAGTTTTCCCAAACCCAACATACTTGACAAATATTTCACCCAACACTAACAATTATTTTTGTTGCTTATCTAGAGGTTTCAAGATCAAAGTTCCAAAAAGTATCTTAGTGAAATATTTCTTAGTGTTCATTACATCATTCTGGCACCACTATTTTAAGAGGACTTTAATTCAGCTCACAAAATATTTGTCAATGCAAGTAATTTCACTTTTATAGCTTTCCTTTTTCATTCTGTTCCCTAGTGATCTGGAAAGTGAGCCACTTAGGAACAGGGGTGTATTTTCCACTGTGTAAACTCACAGCACTCTAATCAAGGGGGAAAGTCTATGGCCCCTGGGTTTATCAAGGATGCAGCAGCAAGTTTGGGTGGCAGTCTTTCAAGCACGTGGTGAACACCTGTGCTCTCTGTAAGATCTGGCAATGTCCATTGTACTAGTGATCAATTCACCTGAGTCATCTATTCTACAGAGGATCAATCAAATTTCCCAGCTAACGGACAAAAGCGGTGAGTGGCAGTTAGGGAGGAATCACCCCTTTCAGCACAAGTTCTCTAGATAAAAAATGGACGGATCATGACCAGACATGTAAATAACGCCATTGCAGATACATCTGAAGGTCAATTTAAATAAGTCTCATAGTGGTAGATGTAATGGCTTGATTGTTACCAGATGTATGTTTAATTGTAGTCCTCAGTTTGCATACTGCTTCTAACATTCATTCAACAAGTGGTTCTTTCTTCTGTGTTTAGCTTATTCTAAATTTATCTTTACTAAAACACATCTGATAGTATCTGACCCAAACTGTGAAGCAAGTCGTTGTAAATCTCTTTCAGATCTTGGTTAATTCTTTACTGACAACTGAGTTGCATGTTGCCTTGTGAAATGTAGTAATTCTTACTCAATTTTGAGGAGCAATCAAGTATTTAATAAGAGGAGGTCAAGTTGAATGACTATATCTGCCCATGGATCTTTTCAAGTGTACTAAGGTTTGTTTAGTAGGAAAATAGTTTCTGCAAAACTGAGAATGCTCATTTTAAACTCTTAAGTGAATTTGTAATCACAATGATACTAGAAGTACTTACTGGCACTGTCTCTTCTAACGCTAGCCTCATGGCTCCCATAACTCCTATTTTATTTTCACCTCTCAAAATTAAACAAACTTGAAGATTTGGTTATACTAATGGAAACAAAATAATTTTCTTTACTGCACACATGGAATAAAAATAGCTTATTTCTAAATAGACTTTCTTCTTCTTGACCAAAGAATCACCAAACAGAAAATAAAAATAATTTGTTTCATCACAGAAAGAACTTTGAGAAATAAAGAATGCCTTAAAACCTCAAAAACATCCTAGTCACTCAGGGCTTTATGTAACATCATTCTAGTTTCATTTTTAAAAAATTGCCATAGATCTCATCATAAGACTTTTTTCACAGATCTACATGTTGAAATCCATAAATTTTAACCAATCTTATTTCAGTATGAAAGCATGTTTTACTCTCTATAAAAATTATAAATAAATGTGACAATCAATATTGATTTATCAGAACACAAATATATAAACCCTATAAATGCACACCAGTGCTTTGCAAACCTGCTTCTTCTTTCCTCAAACTTTTATTACTCCTATTTTCTATCAACTTACTTTTCTTTATAATAAATCTTATTTTTGGTTGAATTGCCTAACCCTAATACTAAAAATGTACGTTCAATACAAAATTAAGAAAAAAATACAACGTTCATCTTCCACGTCTCCATTTCCAAAATACCTTAGACTTTTATAGGTCCTAAGCCATATTATTTTCTTCATTTATTTGTCCAGTCACTATAAAGGTGATGAACAGAAGCATTTTCCATGCATAGCTAATTTGCCATTGAGAATCCTACACCTTCACGTGAGCAAAGTGAGGTGTTTCCTGTCTAGTGCACGCCTTTGCTGATGGTACATTAAACAAGCTTCATTTCTTTTGAACCTAAACAAGAAATAAGCACTGCTCTCCACTCCAGCATTCCACACCCGTAGGGCAAATGGAAACTCTTTCTGTCATTCGACACTATGTGAAATAGACTGTCTCGGTGGAAAATGGCAAAGTGCATGATCCTGATTACCTTTCATTCTCTCCTCACTGCTTATTGTTTTGGAAAAATCTAAGTCTTTGTACTAGAATTATTTTTGCAAAGTACTGTCTTTACTTCCAATGGAATCTTTGAGAAAGAAATGCCAGTATAAATGGTAAATTAAAAATTTGAATTTTAATTCCCCATTCCCATCATGACCTAGAATATCCTTAGCACTTTCAAGACATGGAGTGGTAAGAAAAACAAGATATAACGAGGCCTCTTTTCCTAATGATCAATTATTGATGTAAGAAACTCAAACTGTACATCCTTTTTTATAATATTGCTTGGGGCTTGCATTATTTTTTAGGTTCTTGAATAAACGGGTACCCAAGTACTGATGTAGCATTAACCAGTGTTCCTCAAAGAGTGAGTTCATAGATGACCTTCATCAGAATCACCACGAAAGCTTCCAGAACATGTTTGGGCTCCACCACTGACCCTCTGAATCAAAATCTTTGGGAGAAAAAATGGAGAATCTGCAATTTTAGTAAACACCCAAGGAAATGCTTGGCCTGTTACATTTTGGAAAATGCAATGTAAAGACATCATCTTCACTGGGCCATGATGAAATCTGGACACACTTATATTCCTCTGTCTCTAGCTACAAGCCAGACATTTTCAAAAAAAAACTATCAAGTATAAATAAAACACAAAATTCTGCAATGTTTCCAGGCACAATTAATGCCTTAGAACTGCCACAGCAAGTTACTCAAATATCTATTTCATAACGTGTCATGTAATGTCGTAATTAAGTGACCCAAGGATAGGATATGCATCATTCATATCCATTTCATGACTCCTAACCATGGCAGAGTAGGGGCACAAAGAGAGAATACAGAATGTGTGTTTTGAGTAAATTACTAACAGAGTGAATTTAATCAAGTTGAAGACAGACCACTTCCTAGACTCTACTCCAAAAAACTGAGATTTAGTTCATCTTGGCTGGGACTTAGGGGTAATCTCTTGGAGATAAAGATGGCCCTCAAGCTAATAGTCGGTAGGGAAGTGGGGATTTTAGCTCTACAACCTCAAGGAACTGAATTGTCAACAACCTGAATGAGTCTGGAAGTAGCTTTCCTCCCAAAACCTCCAGAATAGAACACAGCTTGCCCACACCTTGATTTTCTCCTGTGAGACTTGAAAACTAGACAAGCTCACAGGACTTCTGACCTATAGAACTGTGAGACAGTAAATGTACGTTGTTTCAAGCTACTAAATTTGTGGCAATTTATTACAGCTGTAATAGAAAACTAATACAAATCCTTACTTGATCAAAAATTACATTTTCCCAACAAACCTAAGTGGATACTTTCTGCTTCCCAGCTAGCCAATCATTCCTCCTCAAAAACATTCATTCTAGTGCAAGGTAATCACACTAGCCAGCAGAATTTCTTTCCAGCTCCCTCCTAATTGTGTGTGATTTTGACAAAGTTAATATAACCCCACTCTGCTTGGTTTACCCAACTGGAAAACAGGTACTGAACTTGATATTTATTTATTTATTTTTTCGATAGAGTGTGAGGAAGAGAGGGAAAGGGAGAGAGAGAAACATCGATGTGAGAGAGACACACCAATTGGCTGGGGATGGGATCGAACACATAACCGAGGTAAATGCCCTTGACTGGGAATCAAACCCATGACTCTTTTGTCCTTGGGCCCATGCGCTAACCTCTGAGCAAAACTGAGCAGTGTTTAACTTGATCTTTAACCCCCTGTTTTCTATTGCATACTTGTTAGAAGATGTGTGCTGGAGTCAGAGAAGCATAGATTCAAACTTCAGTTCTTACAACACTTAAGCTCACTAAACCCATATCCTGGCCTGAAAATAGATATCCAACGGGTGGCTCAATCAATGTTGTCTAGAATTTTTATCATAACTCACCTTGTCA